GAGCTCCCTGCGATCCCAAGAGGAAGGGGGTATTACTATCTCTTCCCATTCCACACACGGGGAAACTAAGGCACAGAACAGATATGCACATATTCCCAGGGCCCTGTATAGCCATGCTGTCGAGCTCCAGTGACTGTGCCCTTAACCACCATGCTATGCACAGCAGGGTGTTGGTGTGATGGTTAAGGACGATGTGTAAATTTAAATCCTGGCTCTCCCACTCCAGAATTTCTAAGCAGGTAATCACATTTCTGAGCCTCATTTCCCTTATCTGTACAATATTGTGGGGACTGTGTTCTCTGGTGCTATGGTTAGAATAGTTGTCCCGTTTAACACTCGTGTTGAAGCTTAATCCCCAATGCAGGGGTATTGAGAAATGGGGCTCTTAAGAGATGATTGGGTCATGAGGGCTCTGCTTTCATGAATGGATTAATGGGTTACCATGGGCATGGGACTATGGCTTTATAAGAAGTGGGAGGGAGACATGAGGTAGCACTCTCAGCCCCCTCACCCTGTGATGTCCTGTGCCACCTGCAGACAACTCTGCAGAGTCCCCACCAGCAAGAAGGCCCTTACCAGACACAGCCCCCTTGACCTTGAGCTACTCAGCCTCCATAACTGTAAGAAATAAGTCCCTTTCCTTTACGAACTACCCAATATCAGGTATTCTGCTGGAAGCAATGGAAAACAGACTAGATATCTGGGTTGTGGGGATTTAATGAATCAATTAGTCCACTCTGTATATGTTAGCTATCCTGAGAGTAATTATGAATTGGAAAGGATAGAGGGACCCCCCTCTCCCACTTTACAGGAGATGATACAGAGACCCGGAGAGGGTGACTGACCAGACTCAGGTCACACAGCTGGAAGAGTCCTTCTCGCCTCAAGCTGTTACATCGGAGGAGGACATCAAGAATTACTGAGCAGATAGCTGGGAGGCCATACTGGAAGTCAGAGTTGTGGTCACATCTGGACACAGAGATCTAGAAGGTATTTCTTCTTACCCATCACCTCCTTCAATCCAAATAAGCCTGCCAAGTAGGGGGTCCTAGTCTCCTTCCCAGCTGAGGAGCACTGAGGCTTGGAGAGAAGAAGTTGCCGAGAGGCTTCAAACCAGGCCACCTGTCTCATGGACAAGGGTCTCTTTATGGTGCCTGAGTTTGAAAGGCAGGCAGATAAAGGCAGGCAGAAAAGGCAGCAGATGAGCTTCCCCGAGGGAACCAGAGATGATAAGAGCAGAAGCCTTCCATGAGAACACCGCTGCATGGAGGCCAAGCTGTGCTTGCCAGCAGGGATGGCCCAGGGACCCAGCGAGTGACGATCGTTTTAATGAGTCCCCTTGGGGGACAAGGTCCACATATGCCTTTTCCAAACTGTGTCCTGTTTGCTTGCTCATGGCTGGGAGTATCTGAGCTTGAACTGAGAACTCCTAGGGATATCCAGATCTACTCTGAAAGAGCCTGTTGCTGGCGCTGCAGTTTGAGACCCTAAGGCGTGATGGGCAGGAGAAGCTGGTGGGGGGCTTGTCCTTGTTTCATGGGACTGAGGAGCCCTGCCACCCGGCTTTGTTCTATTTCCATCAGCTTACCCTGGCTCTGCACCGATGTTTCCCAGGCCCTTGTGCTCATAAAGGCTGATTGCTGGCGGCTGTCATTTAAATGGAGGCTCGTGTCTTTGTCAAGCTCTGAGCTCACTCATCCTTTGGAAAAGACAGAAAAGCCTTTGGTACCAATTTGCTCTAATGAAGACCATATCCCGTCTAGAGGGATCAGAGGGGGACCTGTTCCCATCCAGCTTTACATTAGATTGGCCGTGCGCCCTCCGCGTGTCTACCCGCCATTAGGAATGTTCACATTCATCCTTGAATCTCATTGTCCTGAAGATTTCAGAAGGCTGGGGAGGGAGCAAGATGCAGGAGAAAGAGAGCGCTGGGTTGCTATACAGATAGATGAAGTCTGGGGTTTTAGTTATCCTTTCACTATTGATTTTATTCTGTTTTTCAATTTTTAAATCATAGTAAAATATATTAGAATAACAAAATTTACCATCTTAACCACTCTTTCTTATTTTTTAGAGTCAAAGTCTTGCTCTGTCACCCAGGCTGGAGTGCAGTGTTATGATCACCACTCACTGCAGCCTTGACCTCCCAGGGTCAAGCGATCCTCCCACCTCAGCCTCCTGAGTAGCTGGGACTACAAGCACGCACCACTATGCCATTTTAGGAAATCTTCAATGCATGTTTGAAAATAATGTGTTGAGTGCAGGATTCTGTATGTGCTGTTTGTTGTTTTGCTGTTTGCCTTTGTGGCTTGTGTGTTTTGTAATTTTGAATAGTGAGCTCGCATTTAACAAGGGTTTTATCTATGAGAATCCTGTGTGGTCTGTACTGTGGGTAGGGCCATCCACAGAGGCTTGCATTTGCTATTAGTGGCCACATACCTGTGGTGTAACCCACTCCAGGCTTTTTTCTAATATTAATTTCTATACTTGGGAGTCCTGGGACCATGTGGATAACACAAATTCAAACCTCAAATTTCAGTTAGTGAAGGTCTAGAGTTAAAATCTCTCAAGAGATAATTCTTTTTAAATTTTTCCAGCAGAGCCAGAAATGAAACAGACAACTTCTTTTCTTCTCCCTTTGTAAAAGGGTGATCTGCCGGGCATGGTGGTTTATGCCTGTAATCCTAGCACTTTGGGAGGCCGAGGTGGGTAGATCACCTGAGGTCGGGAGTTTGAAACCAGCCTGACCAACAGGGTGAAACCCTGTCTCTACTAAAAATACAAAATTAGCCGGGCATGGTGGCACATGACTGTTATCCCAGCTACTTGGGAGGCTGAGGCAGGAAAATAGCTTGAACCTGGGAGGCGGAGGTCGCAGTGAGCCGAGATCGCACCATAGTACTCCAGTCTGGCAAATAAGAGCGAAACAAGAGCAAAAAAAAAAAAAAAAGGGTGAAGGGTGATCTTTCCCCACCATTCACTTTTTCATTGAGGATATGGGTTCAGTTTTATTCTGGTGCCTTGCTTCCCTCTGTTGGCAAGGGTTCCAGGCCTCGTCTCTTATCCCTCCCTCCACAGGTATAAAATCCAAGCTCCTTGGTTACCAATATCAGCAAAAGCCACCACCTCCCACCCCCATCTCCTGCCTCCCTTTGCCACCCATCAGCCCACCCTGCGGGACAGTCAGAGAATCAGCGTCTGCTTGTCACTCTGATATTTAGCTTTTATCTTTGTTTTTGGTCTCTAGGAATTTTTTTTTTTTTTTAATCTTGGAAACTCAGTTGGGTATTTGAAATTATGTTTCTGTTTTATCCAGTCTTTTTCCTTTTTTTTTTGGATGGAGTCTCGCTCTTGTCAACAGACTTGAGTACAAACAGCACAATCTCCGCTCACCGCAACTTCCACCTCCTGGGTTCAAGTGATTCTCCAGCCTCAGCCTCTTGAGTAACTGGGATTACAGGCGCCCACCACCACACCCAGCTACTTTTTGTATTTTTAGTAGAGATGGGGTTTCACCATGTTGGCCAGGCTGCTCTTGAACTCCTGACCTCAGGTGATCCGCCTTCCTCGGCCTTAAAAGTGCTGAGATTACAGGCGTGAGCCACCACACTCGGCCTATCCAGTCTTTATAGACAGAAGGTTAGCAGGACAGAAGGATTTATCCTTTCATACCCCAGACCTGGGTTCCATTCTCTCTGCCTCTGAGTGATTTTGTAAAGCATGTGAAGCATCCCCACCCCACAACTCTCAGGTCTCGCCTCTGCACTTATCAGACGGGGTTGCTCACTCCCCAGCCTCACCTCATGGAGATAAAAGGCATGAGGTTGGGGAGGTAGAGGTGGGAGATAAGGGACTGGACATTAAACCCTGGAATTTCCAGTGGCCTCCACAGCTAAGCACCTGTGTCCCTGGTGGTGCTTCCAGGAAGGTTGGTGATCAGTCATCTCAGAGCTGAGGTGCACTCAGGGACAAAGAACCTTCAACAGATTTCTCCAGCAGTGCCTGGATGGGCAGGAGCTCGCTCTGAGCCTCAAATCCGTAAGTGAAAATCCCTCTAGGATCCTATGGCTGATTTACTCCTAACGTGTCCCAAACTGAACTTATCTTCTCTGTGAGCTGTCTCCTCCACCAGGTTCTCCATCTGAGAGCAGTGCACTCTCACTCCTGTGCCTACACCACATACCCAGGTGCTTCTTCCAAGAGGCTTTCTTACAAGCTCTCAAAGGCAGTCCCTCACCAAATCCTAAATATTCCAAACAGCCCTCCTCTCTGGCCACTTCCTGTTGTCCCCACTGCCTCAGGCCTCTTTATCCTCACCAGGTTCATTTCGAATCTCTCGCCCTGGAGTAGCCTCTGTCCCTCCTGGGCTCACAGCTTCCCTGGCTGATGCTCAGAGTGTGTGGATGTCTGGAGGCCAGGATGGGGCCACTCCCCTGCCGCTTCCTTTGTGACCCCACCGCTGTGGATCAGGTGTCCTTGAGCTTGGCCTCTGCAGGCCACCAGGCCTTTTTAAAGTCTGTACTCTCAGAAGCCAGCAGCCTGAACAAAGAAGGCACAGAATCAGCTCGCAGGCTTATTAGCTGGCTTGTGGGGGCGGTGGGGGGGACTGGGCGATTTGATTCGGCCTCTCTCACCTCCCTCTTCACTCCAGGCATGGCTTGACATGGGCCCCCAAATTTCAACTTTTCGTTTTTAAAAAGCAACCAAATAATTTTGAAAAAATAGTCATCCTCATCCCATCCCATCCCATCCCCTACTCCTTAGCTTGTCCCAGCCCTTAGCTTCACCCCAACGCTGCCCTTAGTCCCTGGGAGGAGGCCCAGGAATAGGACAAGGAAGGAGTGGGGGCCAGGCTGGGCACCCCTCCTCTCTAAGCTGAGTCAGCTCGCTCTCAGGCAATTGCTTGGTCTTACCCAGTCTTCATCACAAACTCTTTTAATTCCTCAAGAAGTTGCCACCACCTCCTCACGCATTAACCCTCAACTAATAAGGAGACTTACCTGCTTAGCAATGGTAGGACTTGTGATCAGGGACACAGTGACGAACTTTGGCATGTGCTTGCCTCACATGGGCTGCCTTGTATCCACATTCCTGAGAGCTTGGGGTTCGGGGCAAACAGATGGGTCTGGGGTGAATGCCGACTCCCCTGCTACAAGTGTGCCCCCTGGGGCAAATGAACAAGTCGATGATATCACCTCTCTGGCCTCCTCCCCATGATGTCTGCTTATAACTCATGGGCTTACTGGGCATGGGTGAGGGACATGGACTAGGGCCAGTGACGTGCTCACCAGGGCTTGGCCAATAGTAGGTGCGCTGATAATTCAGGGTTTTGAAATAGTAAGTATGGGCCGGGGATGGTGGCTCACACTTGTGATCCCAGCACTTTGGGAGGCCAAGGCGGGCAGATCACCTGAGGTTGGGAGTTCAAGACCAGCCTGGCCAACGTGGTCAAACCCTGCTTCTACTAAAAATACAAAAATTAGCCAGGCGTGGTGGTGGGTGCCCATAATCCCAGCTACTCGGGAGGCTGAGTCAGGAGAATTGCTTGAACCTGGGAGGCAGAGGTTGCAGTGAGCCGAGATCACACCACTGCATTCCAGCCTGGGGGACAAAAGCGAGACTCTGTCTCAAAAAAAAAAAAAAAAAAAAAGTATGAATGAGGGCTTTCTGGGAGCATAACACCAAAGTAGGTGCTCAAGATGACAAGGAGGTGGCCAGGTGGCCAGGTGCAGCAGTGCCACCGAGCAGGACCAGTCCTGACTTACTGGCTGGCCTCCCCTGCCCTGTCAGTGCTTCACTGTAGGTCCGTTCCCACCAGCCTGCCCAGTGGCAGCTCCTTATCCGAGACAGGGACACACTCCCGTTTGTCCCGCTGGCCCCTGGCTGGCCCGGGCCAGGCCTACTGGCAGTGTTCAGAGGCAGTTGGCTGATTGCACTGAGTCTCAGGTCTACTTCTCAGCCACTCCCAAGCCTCACTGTCCCCGTCAGTACAGGAGGAGGACTGAGCTTAGTAAGGGCAATGATCTGGGCCTACCATGTGCCAGGCACTGAGGTGTGGGCAGAGAGGAGATGAAGACTCAGCCCTGTCCTTGGGGAGAGGGATGGACAAAACTGCAGGTCAATACCGACGGAAGAGCCAGGGCAGGCCCTGGGAGGGCAGGTGGCAGTGGAGGGGCTTCCGGTAGAGAGAGGCAAAGAGGAGAGGGGTGGGGAGGTGGAGGCTGGGGAAGACTTTGCACCTCAGCCATTTGCAGATGGCACACAGGCTGTGTTGAGCTGTGGGGCTCTGGGCACTGCAGCCTGGAAATTAACCGCAGTGTCTGTCTGCATTGAATATCCCCAACACCAGGACTAGGTGTGGCAAGGAAACAGATCACATTCCTGCCTGCCCAGAGGCTGTGGTGCTGGGGCATGATCCTGAAGGCGGTGGGCTCCCTGACCCCTATGGTACTGGTGTGGAAGACACAGGGGCCAGGTACAGCCCAAGATGGAGACCGGTGGACCAGGCAGGAGCCACTGCCAAAGCAGAAGCGCTCAGGACCCCGGGGTGCAGGGCGGGGAGACACTAGAGAGGCCAGACAGGCCGTGCGCTGGTGAGGAAGGGGAGATGAGAGCACCACCTGTCCCAGGCCTGGGACACAGGCGGCCACAGGAGGCACTGGGAGCTTGCAGGTGGAATGCCAGGCACTTGGGAAAGGGACAGAAGTTTGCCTGGGGCCGCTGCTTTTGAGCCCACCCATGTGGGGAGAGGGTGCCTCATCTCATGAGAGAAGGCACGTGACACCCAGAAAACAAACCCAAAGACCACCATTCTCATGATCGGGACATGTGGTGCCAAACCGTGGGATCTAAAGGCAAAAGCAGCCCATGTCCCCATTCTGGCCTGCTCTCTCCTGGGCTCTGGGACCATGACCCTAGAGGCCCCTTCCTCTCTTCGGGTGCTATGATTCCCACTGAGGGACAGGGAGTGGTGAGACCTCCACCTTCCCCTCCTCCCCTACTAGTTATTCTCAAGGGTCCAAGAAGCAGCAGGCATCTGTTTCTCCCGCGGAGCCATGTGTGAGCTGGGGGAGTGTGGGAGATGGGAACCCGGAAGCAGGCATGTGCCGGCCCACCTCTGGCCAGTGGTGGGACAGGGCTTCCCGGTCTTCACCTGTCACTAGACGGGCACAGGCCTGCTGCTTCTGAAAAACCACAGTCACAACTGGAAGAAGAGACTGACACACCCCAACCTAGGGGCTAAGCCTCAGCTTCGGAATGTGACAATTTATTTGGGGGGTAAAAGAGGCTTTTCACCCCCCTTTCCTGGCGTTGATACAATATTGAAGAGCAGCAGAACAAACGTACAAGACAGAGTAATCGGCACAGACCCACCCCTCCCCCGGAACCACCGAATCCAGAATGGAGCCCAAACCCACACCCCCAATTAGGCATCTTCTCCATCGGGGGAGGGGCAGGGTGGACTGGGGGACCTGCCCCCCATGCCGGGGCAGCACCTCCATTTCCTGTCTCCTGCCAACCCCACTATTTTCCCATCTTTGACCACTGGAGGCAAAGTTTAGCCAGCTGGGAGCTGGATGGTTGAACCACATACAAAGGCAACAACATTTTAAAAATGAGAAAAAAGAGACAGTGCCCCTCCCCAAATATAGAGCTATATATGTATATTTTATATATATAGAATTCATTCGTGCACAATTCATTAAATGAACTTCTCAAAAATTAAAAAAAATTATAAGATACGTATTTCTTTAGGCCTTTGTGTTTTTAAATTAAAACCAACGAAAAGAAGTCTCCCTCTCCACCCAGCAGCAAGGGCAGCCTTCGCTCTGCTACCTGGCCTCCGGCAAATGGGTTCCCCCATGAGACTGTCAGTTCCCCTTTGCCTGGCTGACTTCCTGCATACAGTAGGCACTCACTACTGGAGTGCGGCACTGACTCCTCCAAAGATCACAGAGGGTGGAGGAGGGAGCCACGAAGGCCTGGTAGGGGCCATCTTTGGCCCCCACTAACCATCTTCCTATTTCTGCATCCTAGTGACTGTCAGCAAGAGATGAGTCTGGGAGACCCTCTCCTGGAGTTCTGGCCCCTAATTCTGGGCTTTCTATATGAGAGGACATGCAGATAGAGAAGAAACTAAAACCTTTCAACATCTTTTTTTCTTTAAAAGTGATTCCTCAAACCATACCAGCCCCAAAGAGGCTGCCTTGGGCAAGTGCATGGGAGCCCGAGAGTGGAACTGACCGGGTGGGGCTCCACTGTCCCATGTGGGCGAAGTGCAAAAAAAAAAAAAAAAAAGAAAAAGAAAAAAACCACCACAAACCAAAACAAAATGACACAGCAAAGTGGGGGGTATGTCCTCTTGGGTCCCCAGAGGCCAGAGAGGCTGGTAGCAGCCCAGTCCCCTGGCCAACCCAGCTCCCTTTTGGGGCTGACCCTCCAGCCTTGGGTGGGTGCACTGGCCTGGCTCTCCTCCAGGACCTCCTGGCTCAGGGGCTCGCTGCCAGTCTGGTGCTGGCCCCAGGGCCTGTGCCCCGCCTTTTAAAGGGCTTTTCCCCAAAGACCAAAGAAAGCATCCTGGACCCCGTCCCTGCCGCGTTCCTCCAGTGAAGCAGCTGGGCTTCTCCGAACCATTTCCACCTCTTTGTAAAGGGGCCATCCCCCCACCTCTGCCTACCTCACGCTGAAGTTGGGGACTTGATCATCACCTCTTCCCAGATCATAGGAAGGATGAGGCTCATTTTGACCTTGACCCCTTTGCAGGGTGAGAACAAAGAGGGGTTGTGGGCAGCTAGGGGTCCTGGTACCAGCAACCTTGACCCACTCCTGGTACTCAGCGGCTGCTCTGACATCAGCAGCGCTTTGTGAAGAGGCCTTGATGCCTAATACACCCATTTCACAGAGGGCAAACTAAAGGTCAGAGCGGGGCCGAGCCAGGGATGGGTCCCAACTTCCCAGCTGAAACCAGACACACTAGACCTCACCTGTTTCCTCTGATACTTGGGTGGGGAGGGGGTGCACTTAAGGGGAGATGACGGATGCCCCAACCATTATTGAACATGGGAGGAGATCAGGCTTTGGGGGTTATTTCACATATAAAAATAAAGCAAACCAGATTGCAACTTCTGCTTGGTAATTAGGCAAATGGAAAGCAGCAAGGGTGGAGGAGGGGCCCATGGAGGCCGATCCGTGCAAGTGTGTGGGGGCAGGGGTACTGGAGAGGGTGGGAAGGAGGCCTCCGCTCATCCTTGGTCCCATCCACTTGGACCCCCAGGGGCACTCAAGGCAGTGTGCCTGATGCCTCTTCACACACCAAGGCTGGGCTCGGGTTGCTCTGCTTGGAGCTCAGGCCAGCAGAAGCAGACCACCTGCAGCAAGGGACATTAATTCCCTCCCCCAGCCACCCCTAGGGCCCAGCTTCTTGACTCCGGAAGCCTGCATCTCCTTTCAGGCCAGGGAGGCTCGAAGGGGTTGGGGGCTTTAGGGTGACAGGGAGGGAGGTGTCCCCCATAGGGTGGTGGTGGTAGGGGCCAGATGGCCCATTGACTGGCAAAGGAACAGAAGGGAGCAAGAAACCAAACTGCTCACTCACCAGCCTCCTGGAGAAAATCACCAGTGACAACCCCACCTCCCAAACCTCAGTGTGCCGGGACCCGAAGCTCGGGCTACCTCCCCAGGGTCCCGCTGTTGCCTTTCCCTTTGAGCGAGCACGGGTATGGAGATCTGGGTTCAGGCCCTCTCCACAGTGCCTGCGACGCTGGGGGTGCTGCCAGCTGGTCCCAGGCCTCCTCCCCACCCTGACATTGCCACCTCACCTGTGCAATCACTGCGTTACTATTTTTTCTTTAAATATCTCTTTCTTCCCCCCACCCCCCCATAGGAACCCCACAATATTTTTTTCTATTTCTTTTTTTTCCTCTTTTTTTGTTTTTTTTTTTGCAAAACTAATTCTTTCACTTTCCTGTCATAAAATCACCTCTGAAAACACAACTTCTTTACAAAAAAAGTCACGAATGACACAAACTCTCAGGAAAACACATTTCTATGGTCTCTGGAAACACCTGTAACTGGCACCCCGGTGGTCGCTCACCTGGGGGAGGGTGTCAGGGGGAAATCACCTCCAAGGACAGAGGAGAAATGCCAGCCCTTATTTGAGGAGAAAGCCAATTGGCACTTGGACGGCCACAAAGCCAACACACAGGGCAGGGTAGGGAGGGGCCGAGGAGTACCAGCCCCCGCCCTGACCCTGCAAGGGTCCCCGTTCTACATCCTGGGGAGGGGAGGGCTAGGGCCACGCTGTGGCCTGGGCATGGAGATTGGGAAGGAAGGCGGCCTCCCCATTCTTAGGACCAAAGGCGCTCGTGTTCTGATCGGCCTCCTGCCAACGTGCTTCTGAGGGAGGGGCCCATGGCTGCACAGCCAGGAAGCCAGCTTCAGCCACGCCCGGAACATGCCACCCATGCACAGTGGAGACCCGGGAAGTGGCCCTGGGCTGGCCAGCAGGGCTTCTGATCCCAATCCTGGGACCAACACCCTCATTCTCCTGGAGAAAGCGGCCCCTCTGGTCTCTCGTCTTTGCCTGCCTGCCCTCCCAGGGCCCAGCCTAAGGCTGGGGCTGTGGCCTCTGCCACTGGCATGGGTGCCTTGGCTCCCTGGCAGCAGAGGGAAATGGAAGCTCCCAGGGCACTAGAGGCTCCTTTGCTTCGTCCAGGCTGGGCTGTGAGAAAGCCTCAGTGGTCAGAAGCAAAAGAAGGGCTGGGAGAAGCCGGGAGGCCCTGGGGGAATGGCTTCGTCGGCATCCACCCCTAACCCCAGGAGGAAGGGTCTCCCTCTCTATCTCAGTCCCCACCAAGCCATGAAGGCCCGACAGGTTGGGCTGACCACCCCAAGGAGGGGGACAGGGGGGCATGGCGCCCTCAGCACTCCAGGCCAGGAGGGGAGGCAAACCTCCAGACTCGAGCCTGGTCCCCAGGCCCACTGAGGCAAGGGAAGGTCCAGGCCTTCAATGCCCCTGTTCAAAAGAACTGTAAAGGGTGCCACCCAGACAGCCTGGGGCCTAGTACCCAATGCACGTATGAACCCATGGACAAACACACCAAGTGGGGCGGACGCACATGCACAATAGGAATTTTCCACGGCAGGTTCTCTAGCACCTTTGGTCAAGAACTGAAGGGGCCTTTAGATGCTGGGAGGCTGTGGCCAGGTGCATCCTCTGCCAGTTCCTCCCACCGTTGAGCCAGTTAGGAAGGACACAGGGCTGGGGCAGGGCATAGGGGGTCTGCTTGGGTCTCATCCAGAATCAAGCAGTGAAGACCCCGCCCTGGCCCAACTTCTGATGCCCTGGCTGATGTGGAGGGAGGGGCCGAGTCTGGCCTCATCCTCGGCCTCTGTCTGGGGTTTTGCCAAACAGGCGGGAAGTCCCCCCTCCTGCCTCCGCATCTGCAGGAAGGAAAGGGACTGTGCCCACCCTCAGTGGGGGTCTCCTAAGGGCCCCACAGCTGCCAGGTTAGCACCGAGAAATCAGACGCGGCACAGGAGAGCAGAAAGCAAGCTAGAGAGACAGGCGGGATGTGGAAGGGGCAGGGGAACTTTAGGTTCTGGGGCTTTCCAGAAACCACCCAGTGGGCCCCACCATGCATGGGTAGGGAGTGTGCCCTTCCCCTGCCCCATTCCAGGGTGGCCCCTGTCCCCCGGCCTTCTGGGACCCCCAACTGCCCAGCCCCATCCCTGGGTCAACACTGAGCCATTTGAAACAAGCAAAGCACAGGGAGAGAGGGCTGGGGGCAAGGGCGGGGTGAGAGCAAGAGTATGACTTCGGGCAGGAGGGCCCCCCAAACCCCCTCCTTGGTGGAGCCCCCTCACTTGCTCGCCCCACTGCCGCCACCACCCCCAGCTGTGCCTGCGACCCCAGCAGCCACCTTCTCGAAATCCTCAGGGTTGCAGAATTCCTTGATCGTGACCGTCAGGAGGTTGCTGGTGACATCGGTGACGACCACATTGGAGCAGGGTGACATCTCGGGGCGCCAGTCCCCAGCCTCGGGCTCGGAGGAGGCACTGGCGGGCTCAGGGGCCGTGGGCAGCGCCGGGCCGGCAGCGGCAGGGACATCTGGCTGCGCCCGCTTGCTGGTGGCTGCCGACTCCGGAGGGAGGGACAGGTCGAGCACCTCTGGCTCGCGCCAGCCAGGGGCAGATGGGCTCACGTTCTCAGGGAGGAGCTTGGGGGGCGTGTCGTCAGGGTCAGAGGACTGCTGTGCGGGCGAGGGGCAGCCGGAGGATCCCGAGCTGCGGGCGTCGTAGGGGGCGGCGGGGGCGGCCAGGAGCAGCCCGGGGCCAGGGGCGGAGGCGTCGGCCTTGCCGGCGGGCGGGGCAGCCAGGGGGGCGGACGGGGGCTTGTACAGAGCAAAGGCTCCGAACTTCATGTGGCGGATCTGGGTGCGCAGAACGCTCTCGCTGAACTTCTTGCTTTTGCCGATGACGCGGTTCCGCGAGGGGACTTTGGGGCGGGCTAGCGCCCCGGCACCCTGCCCGGCGCCCCCGCCGCCCGCACCCTTGTCGATCACCTTCAGGTTCAGGATGATGCGGTTCCGCTTGGGCTCCCGCGGCTTCACCTTGCGGTTGATGATGCGCACCGTCTCCGAAAAGGGTGAGATGGGTGGGCGCAGGCCAGGGCTGCCCCCCTGCGGGTCCGGGCGGGGCAGGGGACGGCGGGACATGCGGTGGCAGCGGCGGATGTCCTTCTTGAGCCGGTGCACGGCTGCACTGGAGTGCAGCTTGGGCGAGGAGGCACTGGCGCTCGGCTTGACAGAGAAATGCACATCACTGATGCGGAGGGCCTCGGCCTGGGCCCGCGCCTGCAGGCAGAGGGAGGGGTGGGTGGGACCTCAGGGCTGCCCACTGACCTCCCCTGGATACCCTGCGCCAGCGCTAAGTAGAGGCTCTCAGCTAATGATCCCCAGGGCACTTAAGAGAAGCCCTGGTGGAAACAGAGGTTCAGAGATGAAGCAATTTGCCTCTGACTCTAAGGTCAGAGTCAGGACACCCTCGCCCAGGCCGAACTCCAAAACTCAGTGTTTTTCTATGACCCACTACCTATTCTAGCTCCACAGAGGGCCCTGGGCCACTCCATGGCTGCTGGTACTGATGCTCCCGTGCTGACGACTGGGACACAGCATGGAGAGGGCAGACCTTTGCTCAGAAACCTGCTGAGCCACCTTGTCCACAGTGCCCGGTACTCTCTCGCCTTTGAGCAGGCTGACCTCCAGCTCCAGCCTGCCTCCCCAGCTGGCCAGCACCTCTGGCCAGCCTCTCAGCCACTGTACTTCCCTGGGTGGGTCTCATTTACTTGTCTGTCCAGCGCTTGGCTCAGAGTAACTGGTGCCAATGCATCCCAAAGCCTGGGTTGGAATCCAGCCTAGTCAGACATGAGTTTGGTGGGAAAAGGGCTAGAGATGGGACCAGGCACTCCCTATTCTTTGTGCCAAGATGGTCTGGGGCAGGATGGTGGCACAGAGAAGGTTATGGGCAGCCAGGCATACTGTCCCAGGCTCCTAGGCCCAACTGTCCTTTCAGGCATGAAATCTCTCGAAAGCTGCTGGGCTCTCAAGAGACCCCAGGTTCCAGTACAACCCACCTGCTGTCAGATGCCACCAAATGGAGAGGGGGTAAGGGACTCATATGGTGATGTAAGCCGTCTACATGGCCAGTCCTTCCTTTACTAAGGAAGGTGCTAAAGCACCAGGCACCAGCTGCTTGGGGTTACAGCTGCACACACACAGAGTTGGGTTTAGATCCAACTCTCCCCTGGGGAGCTGCCCTATTACAGGGAGGATGGCCGGCAGCAAGAACATGAAGTAATTTGCTGCAGTGAATGAACTGCAGAGCCCAGAGAAGCACAGACCCCAGGCCTGGAGAACGAAACATCGAAGCCTGGCCCTGACACGTAAGTAGGAGAAAATCCTGGTCCTTACAGGGCCCTGACTGCAATCCAGACAGTTCCAGAGGCTGAGGTAGCTGGCTAAGACAGAGACAGAGCATGGAGGTAGAGAGTCCTGTGGGCAACGTCCCAGTGGTGTGAGAAGATGCCAAGGAGTCGGGACTGAAAGCAAGGGCTGGGGACAGAGGCTGGGATGTGTATGGGGTGGTGCCACAAGGGGTGTGGGTTTTGCAGCTACCCTGGCTCCTACTGTGGCAGGGAGGCTTGTTAGGGGATGGCTGCCCTCAATCCAGGTGGGAGATGGTGGGGACCAAGGAGAAGACCACATCCCCATGGTTGGTCTGTGAGGTCCTTGACGGTGGGATCTGTTTTGAGGTCTCTCTACTTTACTCCCCACAGCACCAGATGCTTAACCAGTACCTGAAGGTAGTCCACATGCCCCTCAGACAAGACTAGATTACATTTGACCACAACTCCCAGGAGAGGTGTTCGCTGGGTAAGCAAGGATGTCTTCATTCAGAACATGGCCTTCATCCCCATGGGAGAAGGGACTGTGACTCCACGTGGTCCTCCCAGCACAGCCTGGGGCCTCCAGGGGCTGCTTGGTTATCAGTCCCTTCCGACACTAGGTGGCAGTACATGAAGCCAGACCTGCCCATGCCAATGCTGCCGCTGAGCTCCCAGGGACTGGGCCCCCAGACCCTTCCCACACAAAGGCAGGGAAAAGCCCATGCTTTTTTGGCATGGTAAGCAGGACATTCTGCAAGGTGCACCCTACAGGAGCTTAGGGGACCCCCACACTTTGTGACTCTCAGGAGGTTAGGATTTACTCCTTCTGCATACTGCCTGAGCTTCCTGACTTCTGCAATTATGCTTCCAAGAGTCCGGCGGTGACAGACAGTCCCAGGGGGAGGGGCAAACGGCAGGCCCAGAAAGCAAACCTGGCTTAGTGCGTCTCCTTTCTCTATGTGCACGACCATCACAGGGCCTGCCATGGCACTCCTGTGATGATCAGAGAGTACGTGGCACCCACTCAGCACAGTGCCTGGTACACAGCAAATAACTGAACGGACCTACCCATGGGTGGTGGGCTGATAAGCAGTGATCTTTTTCCAATGTATGCTTTGCCTACATGGACATCCCTTACTTTATACTTTCTATATATGCATATATTTTAAAAGGGTTCACCCTTCCTCTTCCTCCCGACATGGAGAACTCTTTGAAAGTGGGACCTAGGTCCTAGGTCGGCCTGGTGAATTAAAAATAACTGTAGCCAACATGTTTCTTGCACTCTGACCAGGTGACAGGCACAGCTCTGGGGGCTTGGCATGCACTGTGGAAGCTGTGAAGGTTCAAGCACCTGGACTCCACCATGGCCTCTCTCCATGTCTGTGGGCAAGTTACTGAACACCTCAGGCCTTTTTCCCCATGCGTAAAACGGAGGATGGAAGCTATCTTGTGGGCTCCTGTTCACTTCAGAGTAGCTCCTGGCAGAAAGCGCTGAGTGTAATTTGCTGACTCTGCCATAGTGCCTCTCAGGGAGTCGCAGAGCAATGGGTTTGGCCCAAGCTAATCTCCACAGCCCCTTGCAAATATCCACATCACTCTCAGGCTACCTGTTTCTTAGGGTCCAGATAAAAATGTCCCTCCTTCCATCTGCGTCTCCATTCCCTGCCACACCAACCCTGCAGCTTTCCTAGTTTCCTCTGTGTGTCTGTCTCACCCTGACATGGACTCTTCAAGGCACAAGATGAAGAAAAGGAGACAGGATGAGGCCAGGAAGTTGGACCTCAGGTATGTCACTTTCCCTTCCTAGGCCTTGATTTTTTTATCTGTGAAATGGACATAATGCTCCCTACTTCTTGGAGCTGTTGAGAGAATTAAAGAAGATAATCCATGTAGGGGGCTCAGCACTGTATTACGCCCACAGCCAGCTCAGGAACGAAAAGAACTATTAAGAAAAAAGGCGTTTTGTCTATCAATGCTCGTGGTCATACTCGCTTCGCCGCTAGAGGGTGCCCCAGCTGCACTAAGAGGCTGTCACACAGCTCATCAGGCTTCCAGCTGCTCCGCCCATCCCTCCCCAGGAGAAGCATCAGGGTTAAGGTTACTCCCTGGATCCCCCTAGGATGTGCGTCGCTTGGGGATGGGGGTTATAAAAATACGGAATTCTGGAAACCAACATTTCTTTCACTTCTGCTTCTCTTCTCTGAAAAGGAGTCCTCCCACAAAGTCATCAGCTGTCGGGTGGGAGGGGGCCTGAGGTATCCGTAGCACTACAGGGAGACAGGTGGCCCAGTGAGTCCCACTTGCAGCCTTGCCTGTCACCTGGGGTCATCTTGCCCTTCCTTTCCCAGACTCTGTTTTTCCTTGTCAAAATAAATAAAAACCCAAATCCTCCAAGATGGCTTCCTCTGGAAGTTCTTCCCTCCCTAGCGGAGGCTAATATGCTATGCTCTCACTCCCACACCCCCATCCTCCAGAAATGGCTGGGCTGGCAGTGGGGGGAAACTGAGGCTCAGAGTCCTAAAGTTAGTGGCCCAGCCTGGGCTATAAAGTGAAGTGATTTGAGGTCAAATTCAAGTTGGATCTCCGAGAAAGGAGGGGAGCCAGGCAGAACAAATCCTGAAAGACAGGGACTGGGGAAAGCTAGGGGCAGGGAGGCCGGCAGTCCCCCAAGTCCTCTCCCTGTGCCCTGCCCAGAAGTGGGACCCCACTCACTCTCCCCCTGGGTCCCAACTCCCAGCACAGACCTAACAGCTCAAACCAACGCCCCCTTCCCACGCCATCACCCACCTGCCTCAGCCACCCCTTCCTGGAGCCCTACAGGCACTCCCAGACCTTGCTTTCAAGAGGGAGGATTATCCCCAGTCTCAGAACCCTCTTTTTAAAGCTGAAGCTGGTTGAGGCCTGCCATCAGGGGTTTCTCGGGGGGCTCACAACCACCCCCTGCCCAGCTGGGGCCCCTCTGGAAAGGCCCGCCCGCTTGGGCGGCAACCGATCTGTCCCTCCCTTCCAGGCCCCGTGCTGTGCCTGGGCTGGGGGCCCGAGAGGGGGATGCTGCTGGGGCTGGGCCAGGTTACCTTCAGGAGGAAAGTTTTGGGTTTAGGTCCCCTCTTCTTGGGTCCATACAGCTCACGCTCCCTCTCCCTGTGGCCGAAAAACACGAGAGGTTAAAAAGAGCCCCTTCCCGGGCCCCATTCGCGCTGCCCTCCCCGGCTCTCCCGCTTCCCCGTGCGGCGCCCCAGCCGAGCCTCGGCCCCGCCGCCCCTGCCAGCTTCCCCAACAACTCACTTTTGCTCGAAGGCTGCAATGAGCCGCGAGTCCAGGATGTTCTCCTCGGGCTCCCAAGTGCTGTACCTGCCGAGTCACACACGCACAAAATCAGGATGAAGACCAGAGAGGGACAGCACGCGGCGAGAGCAAGCGCGCGCACCCCCACCCCAGGCCCCGGTGCCCGCTGCCTCCCCTCCCGCGACGCCCCCAGACCCCGCGACACTCACTTGATCGCCCACCCCTTCCATTTCACCAGGTACTCGATGCGTCCCTGAAAAACAGAGAGGAGAAAAAGGGGGGTGGGGGTGGGGAGGATGCGGGGACGCGAGGAGGCGGCGGCGCGGGGCTGGGCGAGGGAGCGGGGCTAGCGGGACCGCTTCGCCCCGAGGGCCCCCGGCCCCGGCCCCGGCTGCGGACAGCGGCGGCCCGCCCCGGGCGGCGGCTCACCTTTCGGATCCGCCGTTTGATGATGGATTCGGCCGCGAAGACCCGCTCGCCCACTGCAGACAGCTCCATCTTGCTCAGCGGCACCCACAGCCCATAATACTCCCTGCGCCCGCGGCCGGTGCGGCACCGCTCGCGCACGCGCCGCAGCGCCCAGGCCCCGGCGGGCGGGCGCGCGGCGGGGCGCGCGCTCGCGTTCCAGCTGCGGGCCGTCACGTGACCCTCGCGGCCGGCGCGCGGTTGCCAGGACCTCCCCCTCCCCCGGGGCGGTTGCCAGGGAAAGTCGGCGCTCGCGGGGCGGGGGCGCGCGCTGGCTCTTAAAGGGGCCGCGCCGGGGGCGGGAGCCGCGGCTGGCAGAGCGGGTGGGTGCCCGGCTAGTGGGCGCGCTGCGGCCTTACGCTTATCACTCTCCCATCTTGCGGGCGCCGGGTCGCTGACACCCACTCCTCGCCTCTTAATCCCCACGCGAGTGTCGCCAGCCCCGGGCGGGAAGGGCGGTGGAGCCCGAGTCTCTCCGCCGCCGCGCGTCTCCCGCAGCAGCCTGCGAAGAGTTAAATATGATGCAGCAGAAATGCAGTTGCTGTTGCCTTGCCAGCCTTGCGGGAATATCTTTAAAACATCGCCCCCCGTCCATTATTTATGTATTCGTGGGAGTGTGGTTTTGTAACCAGTTCGAAAGAGTTAAAACAAAAACGCCACCGCGGAAAAGGGGTGTTCGGCCAATGGGGCCGAGGGAGGCCGGGGTGACCTTGGGCATCCGTCTGCGGCCGGGGTCCTCGGGCGGCACCTGCCCTCGCCCAGGAGACCGGGGAGGACTCGGCGGGGCCGCGGTGGCCGTGGGGGAGGGACAGGGACCGCGGGCAGGAGCAGGCTCCCGGCTCCCCACCTCGGGCCCACGGCGGGTCATCATCTGGTCATTCGGCGCAAGCCGCCTTCGCGGACCTCTCTGTGTTTTCCGAGTCCCAGCAGCCCCTCCCGGGCCGCCGACCCGGCCGCGTCCCTCTCCCGGCCCGCAGCTCCTCGAAGCTTCCGCCATTGCTCTGGGGACCCCAGCTTCCTAGTTGGGGAGGGGCGCGGCATCCAGCCGGGGCTGCCCAGGAATGGACACACACAAAATAGCCCTGCCACCTAAAACGCTCCTTTTTTAAAATGTTGAAATTACTTGAACTTTATTTCGCGTTATGCTGGTAGTCTTGTTCTTTGTAAAACCATTTTAAAAATACAGATAAAAAAGCAACTGTCCGTAACCCCCATAAAACCATTGTTAACCTCTCCACCAGTCTTCCGGCCTCTGCTCTATGCCTACATGAACTCACCTACACCTGTATACGTATGGATAGGTACACGTATATGTATATGTCTACGTATGTATACACACATACATTGTAGGTTTAATTTTTTAACAAAATGGGATCATGCTATTCACAGTATTCTGGAATCTGCTTTTCTCCCTTAATGCTATAAAGTGGACATCTTTCGATGTAATTAAATACAGATGTCTCCATCCTTTCAGTGACCACCTTGGGGCTGAGACAGGGTGAGGACTAATGGGGAAGTGGAAGAATCAGGGTTGTGTCTTGCGAACATCACTGGTTCATTAGGAAAGGTTTTTAGGTTTCTGTGCTTCCATGCTAATTCTTGGGTTCCAAATCCACCATACCAAAATGTTAGTCTTTTCATCCCTGCAGATTTGTCCAATCATTACCTTGAGAGAAATCCCTCTCCTCACTTAAAATCATGTGTTCCAGGGAAACAGCTATTTGCTGGCCAGCCCAAGGTGAGCTGCTGCCTTCCTGGGAGACATGGGTGGTGGTGGATGGGCAGGTGAGTGGAGTGGGTATGAGACAGAGAAAGAGAGAGAGAGAAAAAAAAAAGAGTGTGCGTTCAGGCTGAGGGAGACAGGACCGGGATGAAGCAGGTGTGTCCATTTGTTGATTCATCAAGCAGTGTGTGAGCCCTTGTGAAGCCCCAGGCTTTGTGTTAAACCATCAGGAAACAAAGGTGCTCCTGGCTGAGGAGCTTTCAGTGGGCTGAGAAAGGCATCTGTCGCACAGTATGACTAATGCTAGAATAAAGGTGTAGGAGTTTCTCGTTGCTGCTGTCACAAATTAACACAAGATCAGTGCCTTAAAATGACTCAAATTTGTTATCCGATGACTCTGGAGGCGGGAAGTCCCAAATCAGTGTTAACTGGGCCAAAGTGAAGGTGTCCTCAGGGCTGGTCCCTTTTGGAGGGTCCCGGAGAGTATCCATTCCATGCCTTACCCAGTTTCTAAATGTTGCTGGCATTTCTTGGCTCATGGCTTCATCATTCAAATCGAAGCTTCTGTGATCACTTCCTGCCTCCTTCTTTTTTGTTTTTGTTTTTGACTTGGAGTCTCACTCTGTTGTCCAGGCTGGAGTGCAGTGGCGCGATCTCCGCTCACTGCAACCTCTGCCTCCTGGATTCAAACAAACAATTCCTGCCTCAGCCTCCCGAATACCTGGGATTACTGGCATGCACCACCGTATCTGGCTAATTTTTGTATTTAGTAGAGATGGGAGTTTCACTCTGTTGGCCAGGCTGCTCTGGAATCCTGACCTCAAGTGATCTGCCCTCCTCAGCCTCCCAAAGTGCTGAGATTACAGGCATGAGCCAATGCACCTGGCCTCTGCCGCCTTTCATAAGGACTCCTGTGATTACGTTGGGTCTGCCCAAATAACTGAGAATGACCTCTCCATCTCAACCTCCTTATCTTAATCAGATCTGCAATGTCATCAGATCTTACATCTGGAATGTAAGGTATCCTATCCACAGGTTCTGGGGGTTAAGACATGGACATCTTCGGGGGAGGCATTATAAGCCTACTGTAGGAGTCTGTACAGGATGCCTTGGGAGTGGACGTAGGAGCAACCTATCACCTGGAGGTGAGGCTGGGAGGGCTTCTCAGAGGTGGAGACCTTTGATATGGGGCTGGAAAGACTAATGGAAATTGGTCTGCGAGTGAAGAATGGGAAGGGAGTCCTGGGTGGAGGTGTCAGCTTGAACAAGCACATCAGAGCATGAGTGTGTGTTCTGGGGATGGAAAAGAAGTCTGCTATGGCATGGGTTGGGGGAGTACAGCAAAGGATGGGATGGAAAAGACGAGTTGTGCCTAACTTGGGAAGGGCCTTGAATGCTGGGTAGGTTTGGACTTTGTCTCAGGACTTTTTTTTTTTTTTTTTTTTTTTAGGTGGGGTCTCGCTTTTTCGCCCAGGCTAGAGTGCAGTGGCTCAGTCTTGGCTCACTGCAACCTCTGCCTCCCAGGCTCAAGCGATTCTCCTGCCTCAGCTTCCCAAGTAGCTGGGACTACAGGTGCATGCCACCATGCCTGGCTAATTTTTTGAATTTTTAGTAGAGATGGGGTTTTCTGTATTAGCCAGGATGGTCTCGATCTCCTGACCTTGTGATTCCACCTCCTCAGCCTCCCAAAGTGCTGGAATTGCAGGCGTAATTACAGAGCCTGTCCTTTCTTTTCTCTCTCTCTCTTTCTTTTCTTTCTCTCTCTTTCTTTTCTTTCTCTCTCTTTCTTTCTCTCTCTCTCTCTTTTCTTTTCTTTCTTTCTTTCTATTTTTTTTTGAGATAGGGTCTTGTTCTTTCGCCCTTGCTGGAGTGCAGTGGCACAATCTCAGCTCACTGGAACCTCTACCTCCCGGGTTCAAGTGATTCTCCTGCCTCAGCCTCCTGAGTAGCTGGGACTGCAGGCATGTATCATCAGGCCCAACTAATTTTTTTGTATTTTTAGTAGAGACAGGGTTTCACCATGTTAGCCAGGATGGTCTCCATCTCCAGACCTCGTGATCCACTCACCTCAGCCCCCCAAAGTACTGGGATTATAGGCATGAAGCATAAAGGACTTTGGAGCAGAGGAGGGACGTGATGAGATGAAGTGGGGATGTGGGCAGCCAGGCTTGGGTCTCTTTTCTTTTGATAACCGTGTGATGCTGTACAAGTCCTTTTCTCCTCTCTGGATCTTAGTGTTTCAACTTCAAACATGGGGAAGAAACTGGCCATTTTTAGTGCTCTATGACATTTTTTGGCAGGTGACCCTTTTGAGAATCTGTTATTTCCAAGTCACTCCAAAGTCTTGGAGAGATTTATGGATCTCTCCCATACCCTTGCCTTATTTATGAGCCCCTGGAGAAGATAGTCTCTATTCTATGAGAAAAAATCACCTCCACCTCTGACAGTCTTTATAGTTCTGAGGTTTGGTATAACACCACGAGAAAAATGGATCTCTCAGCCTGTGTGAGTTGTTGCCCAGACAGAGGGCAAATCAGTTTCCTGTGAAATTGTGAGCCAAAACTATCTGAGACAAGTCTCGATCAATTTCGAAAGTTTATTTTGCCAAGGTTAAGGACGCGCCCATGACGTAGCCTCAGGAGGTCCTGATGACGAGTGCCGGAGGTGATAGAGGTATAGCCTGGTTTACACCTGTTCACACACCTGTTCACACCTGGTTTTACACATTTCAGGGAGACAGGAGACATTAATCAATACATTTAAGATGTGCATTGGTTCAGTCTGGAAAGGTGGGACAACTCAAAGTGGGGTCTTCTTCTTCCAGGTCACAGGCAGATAAAAGACAAAAGGTTGCGTTATTTCGAGTCTGATCAGCCTTTCACCGAATACGCAGTTTACATGGGAGGAGGAGTAGAGGAGTAGTCACTTATGCCTCAGTCTGTCTCAGTGAATCTGCGTTTTTACGTAAACAACAGGGCAGAGGAAACAATCAGATATGCATTTGTCTCAGGTGAGAAGAGGGATGACTTTGAGTTCTATCCTTTGTTCCAAATCGGTGAAGACTGCCACTGTGAAATTCAACAGAAACATTTTAGGGTAAAGATCTTAAGGCCCACATGGAAATTCCCTGTGGGCAAACTGTGAAGGAGATATGTAGCTTTCTAATCTTTGTAGCTATCTTATCTGGGGAAAAAATGGGAGCCAAGTTTGCCTGATCCAGTCCCCCGCTTGACTTAGTGATTTCTGGGATTCAACTTTCTTTCTTTCTTTTTTCTTTTCTTTCTTTCTTTCTTTTTTTTTTTTGAGACAGATTCTCGCTCTGTTGCCAAGCTGGAGTGCAGTGGCACCATCCTGGCTCACCACAACCTCCACCTCCCAGGTTCAAGCGATTCTCCTGCCTCAGCTTCCTGAGTAGCTGGGACTACAGGTGTGTACCACCACACCCAGCTAATTTTTGTATTTTTTAGTAGAGACAGGGTTTCTCCATGTTGGCCAGGATGGTCTTGATCTCTTGACCTCGTGATTTGCCTGCCTCGGCCTCCTAAAGGGATTACAGGTATAAGCCACCACACCTGGCGGGGTTCAGCTTTCAACCCCAAAAAAGGCAACAACTTTCCTTTTGGCTTAGTGATTCAGGGGTTTACCTTCCTTTCACCAAACAAACCTGTAGTACAGCAAACCAAAATTTAGTGGCTTACAACACAAGAATCTACGATCTTTCATGATTCTGTGTTTGACGGGCACTTCAGATGGTTCTCTTTCTTGCTCTTGTATGTGGTAACTGGTGTGGCCACAGTCAGAGACAAGGCCCAGGGTTGACGTATATGTCTGGAGTCATAGCACTGGATGCTGGCTGGGCCTCTCTCTCCTCAAGGTCTCTCATCGTTCATAGTCTAGTTCAAGCTTCCTTATGTGGTTCCAGGAGTTACACAGGAAGGTGATACACTCACAAAGCCTCTTAAGGTCTTGCCTTGGAAGTTATACAACATTGCTCCCACCGCATTCTATAGGTCAAAGCAAGTCACAAGGTATGGTGAGCAGAATTCAAGGCCACCAAGGGTCCTGCCTCTCCCCACCCAGTGTACATATCCTAATGTAATCCCCTCCCTTGGAACGTGAGTGGGACTTAAGGAATGTGTTGAGATTTTGCTCCCATGATTAGGTTATATTGAAAAAACAGGCTGGGCAAGGTGGCTCACGCCTGTAATCCCAGCACTTTGGGAGGCCATGTGGGCAAATCACCTGAGGTCAGGAGTTTGAGACCAGCCTGGCCAACATGGTGAAATGCCATCTCTACTAAAAATACAAAAATTAGCCAGGCGAGGATGCCTGTAATCCCCGCTACTCGGGAAGCTGAGGCAGAAGAATCACTTGAACCCGGGAAGTAGAGGTTGCAGTGAGCTGAGATTGCACCACTGCACTACAGCCTGGGTAACAGAGCAAGACTGTCTTAAAAACAAACAAAAGGGGGGGTGGGGAGGGTTTACAGATATTATTAAAGTCCTTTAAGTTGACTTTGACTTATTCAAAAGGGAGTTTATCTTGGTCCAACCTAATCAGGTGAGCTCTTTGAAAGACAATCCAGGCCTCTTCCAAGGGGAAGGGTTGGAAGCAGCAGAATCGCTCTCCTGTTGACCTTGAAGAAGCAAGATGCTGTGTTGTGGAGAGGGCCACGTGGCAGGAATGGTGGTGGGTGGTTTCCAGGAGCTGAGGACTTCAGTCCTACAATCACAAGGATCTGAATTCTCTCAGTAGCCACTGGGCTTGGAGGAGGACCCCGATTGCAGCCTGTGAGACCCTGAGCAGAGACACCAGTTAAGCTGTGCCTGGACTTCTGACCCATAGCAACTGAAATGATCAAGGGATATTGCTTTAAGCAATTAGTGGTAGAGCAGTAGCAAACTAGTATGTCAGGCCAGCCCAGATTCAGGAACAGGGAAAGAGACTCTATGCCTGGATGGGAGCAGTGGCAAGGTCACACTGAGAAGGGGACACAGGGCTGTTATTGTAATCATTGACCTCAAGGGTTCTCAGTTGGGACACAGCTCATGCTTAAAGCTGATGGGACCCCTGGGGCCAGATGCCCCTTTCACAAAGACACCTGCAGAATTCTGGGCATCTTACCTTTGTGACTTTCACCAGTTAGGGTTGGGACTCATGGGCTATGCCTCCGTGTCCCTAGATCAGACATGTGTGGGGGCTTCATAAATGTCTGCGGGACAAATGAAGGAATGAAGGTGCTGAACTGGGCTTTGCAGGATGGGGAGGGAGGCCTTTGCCCAAAAGGGTTTGTCTTCACCTGAGGCAAGGAGGGACTCAGGGAGGGAAGAGGGTAGCTTTGTCCCAGGCTTTGACTGTCAGCCTGGCATGGTTGAGGCACACAGTGTCTTAAGGCTGTGGACAGTGTCAGAATTGGGAAAGAGTACTTTAGCTCCAATTCCCTTGAAAATTTATCCAAGTCCACTTTCCAGAATGGACGGTTCCCTCCCTGATGCCAGAAGCCAGTTCCTTGAGCTTGGAACCACAGCCCACAGGCCTTCATTCTGTCCCTAATTTGAGGGACAAATTATTCCTGGAGGATTGGGGTGTGGGTTAGAATGCGGAGGGTGTAACATCATCTGGACATTTAACTCAATCCAGAGACA